AAAAAGGAGTACAATAATGCTATAGAATTTTTCTACCAGCAATAAAAGAAAACTCACTACATATTATATGAATGAATCTATAAAGAACCTTCTTTTCCAACTATACTTACAGATGTATAAGCAGTTGGCTGAGTATTCTGGTGAGAGATGGATGAATCCATATGGGTCAAACCCAAGAAATTAAGACATAAAGGTGGAGTCAAACGGCAAAATAACCTGCAATTAACATTTTAAAACATCAGAATATGGTTTTTAAATGCAACAAGATACGTTTTTACATTATAATAGAATGTATCAAGAACATTTAAGATCATTATAGCTATAATTTTCATCCATTTGCATAAACTATACATTGAATTCTCCATGTGAACTTCCCTTACTAGGAGAAATTCTTAAAATCCTACTAATCACTAATCACACCCCCTTTAAGAACATCAGTACTTATACAGCAAAACTACAGCCTCAGGCTACCTGCTTTTGTAGATTTGCCATTAGTTTCTCTTTATAATCTGTGGACAGGCTTTGCATGTACTTTCTTCAACTGTATCATCTGTGCAATCCAACTCAGAGCACAGCAAAGACAGTAACATCTCCAAGGTGAATTATACTTAGTACACAAAGGATCTGAAGTTGCATCAAAATAAATCTTTTTGATAAGGATAAATATAAATAATTTTTCAGTTTTATCCAAGCAAAGGGAATAGCTTATTGCCTTTCAGCATTTGGAGAAACTCAAGTGTAAAAAGAGCATCTTACATAGCTGCAGAGTTAGAGAACTACCAGCTGGGAGAATGGAAGGGTATAACTACAACAATGTAATATTAAGGAAACTCTTTTCTGGTGAGAGAAAGTTGTATACTTGTTGATGTTGGCTGTAGAAATCTATCCATTCACAAATGAAAGATTAAAAAATGGTAAAAACTAATGAAAATCAATGATGCTGCTAACAGCAATAGTCAATGTAACTTTCCTAGTATTGAAACTGAACAGCAGCTATAGACAATGGCACCATTATGAGAAGGTGGGGAAGGGTTATATAAGACTCTATAATATATTTGCAACTTTCTGCAAGTTCACATTATAGTTTCAATATGAAATGAACCACATAGGTTCATGCATGAAATGGTGCTGGAGCTATTTTGAGAGATGGTGTGACTTTTAAGAGGTGGGGCCTCACTAAATGAAGTAGGTACTTGGGGGCATGAATGGAGATATATTGTGTTCTGCACCCTGGTCTGTCTGTCTCTCTTCCTAGGTACCATGAGGTGGGCAGCTCTGCTCTAACACACCCTCTCTGCCATGATGTTTAGTCTCACCTCCACCTCAGATCTAAAGCAACTGTAACTAATAATGATAGACTGAAGCCTCTGAAATCATGAGACAATAAATCTTTCCCTAAATTGTTGGTCAGCATTTTGTCACACTAACAAGAAACTAACAATGTATGATGATTTATAAAACAAAGTCTGGACTCTTCAGACATTACTTTGTGAACTTCATTGAGTCTATCCCTTAGAAAAATCTAATATGCTTAACTAATAGCAAGTAGACTGAGTAACCTCGCTGCAGCTACAGCCATCTCTCTAAACTCTCTAAGGCAAATGTATCCTGCCTGGTGTCTTCGACTTCTTCAATTCAGTTTGAGGCCACTGACTTTCGGAACACTCTTTAAGTCTGACTTAACCTCTAAACTCTTAGTTGTTTATATTGCTCATCTATATACCAAGCCCCTAATTGCTAAGTTCAAGCTCAGTATGTCTTTCTCCCTCCTAACATAGCATACTTAATTTAACCATAAACCTCAAGCAGAATTTAGTTGGTAATCAACAGACATCCATCTATCTAACAGTAAACCAAATCAATTGGCTCACAGAAATAGATATCTGTGTAACATCCATGAGCAAGAAATAAAAGGAAACTATAATACATAAAATGGAGTATTTCTCATTTCTACTTACATGCCGCTGAAGAGAAGGCTGTAAGCATCAGTCTGATGGTGTGAAGCCAAGTAGTAATAATTAAACACACGAATTCTGAATACAGTAGAGTAAACACAGATACTTAGGAAAAAGATGGAAAGGAAGCAAGCAATCTGGAAAAAAATTAGTTTGCTTAAAATTAATGAGCATTATCGTTTTATATACTGTCACAAGAATTCATCCCCAGCTAATACCTACTGAAGTTTTAAAATTTAAATTTAGTAATGGAGTTTTTATACATAGATAAAATGAAATTTTGGAAAAAAAAAAAAAAACAACACCGATATTTCAACACATTTAATAACCTAGATCTAAAGTTGAATCTGTCCTGAAAGAAACTGTTTTCCTACTCTCTTGGCAATTCTTTGCATGACCACAGTAAGTTACATAGTTTCATTGACAAAAAAAGAGGATCAAAGGTTAATCTTATAAAATCACTTGTCACTATCTTACACTTTTTCATCTCCAACTACAGCTCTTAGTTTTTACAATCTCGGTAAATTGATAAAGCTCATTTTTAGAAGTCTGAATTCTATCATTTTGGGAAACTTCCCTGCTTTCATTCTTACTAGAATATATGAGAAAAGACATAAGAGTTAAGGTATACATATGAAATGACACATATTTATGTCAGATATGAAAAAACTGACCTCAATATAAATATAATTGTATGTTCTTTCTGCCAGCTGTATGAAGACTGCAAAGAGGGACAAGACAGGAGTTGTGCTAAAGAAGGTGCACTCTGACCACACAACAATCACTGAGAAGATGGATAAAACCACAGCAAGTATCCTGTAGAACCACGGCCGCAAAAGGCATTCCCAGTACCATTCTGGAAGATAAAGGAAAATACGATTAGGAAAACTAAGTCATAATAGAGTACGTACAGTTTAACAAAACACCAGCCAATAAGATGACAACAGGGAAAATGAGCAATTTTACAGCGGAAAAAAAACAGGTAGATATCACCCTAACCAGATGACCAACAGTAGTGCACAAACTGGTATCACATGTGCTTCCTACTATGATGCACTGGGGAAAACATGACACCACCTCTGTGGTATTCCTGCAAAAAATGCATAACCTGCATCTAATCGGGGGGGGGAGTGGATATCAAACTCAAATACGGGGACATTCAGCAAATCTGCCTTGCTCTCTCCATAATGGTAAAATTCTACAAATACAAAAATATGTTCTGAAATAAGTTTATGATTTATTATCCTAAATATTCAATTTACATACCTATTTTATACACACACAAACACAGACACACACACTTGGTATAAAACTTTGTCGGATAAAAAAAAGTTCATTGAGTGCAAATATTTTAAGAAGACCTGATATGTACTGAGTACCTAAAAATACGTATCATTTATATGTTCAATTATATGCTGAATTAATGAAAATTGGTATCTCATCATTCCTTCATTTAACTAGGAAGAATTTTGTTGAAGGAGTTTCCTGAAATATCTGTTTTGATCATTAACTCTTCATCATGAAGACCAAACATGCAAATTCAGGTATAAATGAATAAATGAGGTGATTTGAAGTTTTAATACTGTGACACTTGGGTACTTCAAGTTTCTTCACACTAGATTTGTTAATATTTAAAAAGAGTGTCATAGCATCACAGAGGAGAAAAAAATTACTACAGAGTGCAGGCTTTACAAACAAGATGAACAAATGTCAATAAAGAGGACCTCTTGGGAGGAATATTTTAGCAGTACATCAACACTGAGGGTGACTCATTCTTATAATGTAAAACTGCTTAAAATTCTATTTAAAGTACACGTTCTTATATATACAAAGTACATTTGATGTGCTACATATATTTTTGTATAGAATTCTAAGTAGCAGTGGAAACAGGGATATGCTATACGGCAAAATAATTATTTGGGGGGAGCAAAGTTTATCAGATACTTACCATATGGAATGCATTAAATATACAAATAAAATTCAGCTTTATACTGATGAACTATATATTTCTTTCTCATAGGAAAAACACATTATTAAATTTTAAAATTTATATCAAATAACATACCAACTGTAGGATTATAAAAATATTGCATAAATCGATTTTCTGGCTCTGGTGACTGAAAAGTGTGAACAAACTGATGAGTTGCACTAGTTTCATTTTTTGCCACATCTTCTAGATAGAATGCCTGTTCCAAGAGGATTTGCCATTGTACTTGAGTTCGACGGTGCCTTTGAACTGAATAAATCACCTTAAAAATACAAAAAGGATAGGCCTGTCAGTATGATTGAACGCTCTGGGTCAACTTCCTACTAGGGAGTAGGGTTTTGTTTATCTGTTTTTTCTCAATAGAGTACTGCTAATGGCATTTACCAGTGAGGCCAAGGATGTTAATGTTCTGAAATGATATAATACTTCTGAAATTTAATATAATACGTAGAAGTCTTATACCTGATTACTGAGTACCCCTGCTCAGAAACATAGTTAAGACGTTTCAAAGAATAATAAAAATAAGATCAAAAGAAATTTTAGATATGTATTTACTCAAAATTCCTGTGGGGGGGCTGGGGGAGGGAGCAGGTTTACAATGTGTGGCCATAGGCATGTGGAGGCTAGAGGCTGTGGGTGCCTTGTTAACTATTCTCCATCTTCTTTTTGAGACAGTGTTGCCCACTGAATCTGGTACTTGCACATTAAGTTAACTGCTGGCTAGCAGGCCCCAGGGATCCTCCCATCTCTACTTCCCAAGCACTGGAAAGTATAGGCACATGCCATTATGCCTGGCTTTTTACATGGGTGCTGGGGATTGAACTCAAACCCTCATGCTTGAATGGCAAGTACTTTGTGGACTGAGCCAATTCTCCTGCACAAAATTCATATGGGCAGTAATTATAAATTTAAATGATATCCTCTAAATCTAGGTAAAATAGCTATAATTAATAGTTAAAATTACCTGTTTATGCAATTTTACGAGACTTTTTTCACTTGGGTAAGTATTACGCTTTTCATCAAAATCTTCATAATCATCCATATTCCTACCCATTTTTTCCTGATACTCTGTAGGGCACTAAAAGAAAAACATTTTATAAAATCTTAATAATAAAAAATGATTTATTAAAAGTTACACATTATTGGAAATTTCTAATTTTCTCAAAAATATTTTCTTCTTTTAATAGCGTATCTAAATGGTTAGGTTTACAACTGTCAATATTTTCATGAAAATGTTTTAAAAGTTACATTGAGTTTCTTCTCACCTCTATTAACATTTATCTTTATGCCCAGATATATTTGCTTGGGACTGGAAAGGCAGAAGAGTTTACCTACATGTAGCAACAACTATTTGAAAAAATTATTCTAGTAACAGGCACCTATTAATAAATAATAAAGCTGAAACATGACAAATTTAATATGCTAAAGATGTGAAAGACATAGTATGCAGAAATACACATACAGTAAGAAAATCTGCTATATTATTATTTATTACCTATATGAACTTGGGAAAACTAACCTTCCTGAATAGGTCTCAGAAACAGCGAGTTATTAGAGAAATGGTTAGAAAATTTATTATTATGACTACAATTTTAGTCAAAGTAGCTAATAATCAGAAGAACAGATTTAGAATATAGGAAAAGACATATTTCAGTGGTTCCTTGGGCACATAAAAAAATAATTGGGCAACTCTTTCAAATAATTTTTTGAAAGCATACATATATACCTGTAATTCAATACAAGTGCATCAAAATCATAATGACACAGTTTATTATTAAATATCTATGTCATTTATTTCATGATACATAAATGTCATAAAATTACATGTAGGAAGTTAGTTGAGAAAGATCAGTGAGATGCTAGTTTATTTTCTTACAAGAGATACACCTTCAGTAATTCGCAGTGGTACTTTAAAAGGTTATCTCTATCACTGTGCCATAGTAGCTATTGCACATTACTCAACATGACTTTTGTCTTCACATTTCAATGGAAAACACTGACAATAAATAACAACAAATTTACAATAACAAAAGAAAAATTCTACATGTAAATTACTATGGTTTATGACAAAGACTTTCATGAAAATACATTTGAAAAACCTCAGTCATAAGTTTTTTAATCATAGTTTTCTTATATGAAATATTAATTTATATACTAGGTAAGTATATTCTTCATAAGAAATAGAGGAGATAATAAAATTTAATTATCTTTAGCCAGGTGTGGTGGTGCATGCCTTTAGTCCCACAGAGGCAAGTGGATCTCTGTGAGATCGAGACCAGCCTGGTCCTCATAGCGAAGGCCAGGCCAGCTGGGGCTAGAGGGAGATACTGTCACAAAAATGACCAAATAAATAAATAAATAAATAAGTGAATAAGTGAATAAGTGAATGAATGAATGAATGAATGAATGAATAAATAAATAATTTGATTACCTTTTTAAGTATTGTATCAACACATTTTCTCAATGGATGGTTATACTTAATGCTTTCATTTACTTTACGAACCTCCTATAAAAAAGTGAGAGAAATAAAGATATTTCTAGTTCTATAAATCAGACATTTCAAAATGAGAATGAATTAAATACAGCCTCAGTTTTTAATTTCAACCCAAATTATTTAGTGTATTATGAAGTCCTTTTCACTGACTAGAAGTTATTAAGACATATGTAAAAATAGAAAGTAATTGAACAGCTATATTTATATTTTCACATATTTTATGACTTTGTAGATTAACTATCATTTACTTTGTATACAAGGATGGTTAAGCATTATTTAAAAGTTCACAAAGTGGCTCTTGGGGTAAGTCTATAGAGCAGCCCTCCGGGCTTTGACTCCCCAAGCTACGTTCACCCTTCCATCTCCACCGCTGTTCTCTACTCCTAGTTTGGGCCCTGCGCCATTCCTAGTCTTGGGGCCCCAGACACCTGGGGAACCAACACTGCTTCCTGATCCTTTTCACCCAGAACAAATTAGTCCCTTTCTTGGGACCCAGGAGCACCGCTTCTGGACCTGGCCCCGCCCTCACCGCTCTCTGCTTCCCTGGACCTATACCACTGGCTAACTCTCCTAGCCTGCACTCCCATCATCAGACATCTTGGGGTAAGTCTATAGCGCAGCCCTCCGCGCTTTGACTCCCCAAGCCACATTCACCCTTCCATCTCCCCCTCTGCTCTCTACTAGTTTGGGCCCTGCACCATTCCTAGTCTTGGGTCCCCAGACACCTGGGGAACCAATACTGCTTCCTGATCTTTTTCAACCAGACCAACTTAGTGCCTTCCCTGGGCCCTAGGATCACTGCTTCTGGACCTGGCACTGCCCTCACCTCCCTTTATTTCCCTGATCCTGCAACACCCGCTAGCCTCTTTCTGGGGCTGACAGCCTCTTTCTGGGGCTCCGAGGCTTACCTTTCTGCTCCCTGATCCTTTGCATCCAGTAAAACCCAGCTACTCAATCCACTCCCTGGGAAATCTTGGGGCTTATTCCCACCCCATTTGCCTTTGCATCCTTGAGATCTGCCTTTGCATCCCATGCCATGGCCAGGATCTCAGGTCAGTCCAACACCCAAGTTCCTGAGGCCAAAATCATTCTTAGAAGATTCCAGACCTAAGGAGAAAGTCTGAAAACTTCTGACGCACATTGGAATTGGGCTGCCGTGGAACTCCTGAAGACAAAATCAATCCAGCCACAACAATATAAAATCAGAGAGAAGCAGAAGCTGCTTAGACGAA